ATTTTAAAAATTATTTTTATTATTAATTTTAATGAAAGTTTAGAGACTGGATTTCAATTTATTCATTGTTGTACTTTCCTCCCTGCCCACCTCTTCCCCCCAGCTCGCTTTTCTCTTTGAAAAGTAAAAGAAAAATTCTTTCATTATTATACAGTCCCTCCCCCCAAATCCATTCCACTATGCAGCCTTCATTCTGGATTCCTGTCATGATAGTAATACCTAATCATATATCCCTTTTAAACAGTTATCTTTCTCAACTGTTTCAATGCAGTATACATAATTTATCCCATCTTTCTCAGTTTCCCTTTAACCCTGATATCAGTCCTGTTTTACAACAGTGGCACCATGCGGTATTTGTCCTTTTGTGACTGAGATATTTCACTCAGCATAATGTCCTCCAGGGTCACCCATTTTGTACATTATTTCATGAGTTCTTTGTTTTTCAAAGTAGTATAGAAAAGCTGTGGTATATTCACACAACTTTTCTATCCTTATTTCTAAGAAGCATTCTTGTTATACTTTTTCCAAGACAGCTTTGTTCAATCTTTTGGAAATCCATGGTACATCCAACATTCTTTACCAATATAAAATTTCAAAAACCTTACTTCTTCTCTCAAAACCACCTCCCTCATTGCTGTCGAACTGAAGCCAACACATATCTGACCCTCCAATAGGTTGTCAGACTGTAAATTACACAAGAGGAGAGTGTTCCTTTTCGTCCTGTGGAGAAGCTGATGGATTCAAACTCCTTGACTTTGGGGTGGCAGTTGGCAGTGCAACTCCTTATCCACTAGACCACAAAAGTGCCTCTTTATTTTGAGTGAGTCCTTGGGTAGCACAAATGGTTACAAACTTGACTGCTAGCTAGAAGGTTGGCGGTTTGAACATACCTAGAGGAATCATGGAAGATGACGTGGTCCCTGGAAACTCTATGCCATGATCTGACTCTGCCCACATATGGTCCCCGTGAGTTAGAATCAACCTGATAGCAACTAGCAAAGCACCGCTGTGGGCATCTGACCTGGGGCCTAAACCTTGGAGGTCCCAGCTCTTGCCTTAAGCAAACGGAGATCTTCTGGCAATTGGCTGAACGAGGCCAGTAGCTTTCAAATCCTCCCTTCCTCTCCCCACAGCCTTTGGATTCTATAGCGCCTCTTCAGTTAATTGGTTATAAGGCCATTTGCACCTAATTTGAAATTATTTCTATGATGGTTTTAATTTATAAATGTCAGACAAACTGAAATATACATCATTGTTAGTTGCCATGGAGTCAGCTGCTACCCCCGGGTCATCCTACGTACAGAACAAGCTCTGCTGATCTTGCATCACAGTTATGATCATTGTCATGTTCAAGGCCTTTGTTGTAGCCACTCTGGACTTGGAGATTTGCCCAAGCCAGGGAGCTCATCTTCCAGTGCTATGGCACATTATTCTTTTGTGATCCATAAATCCTTTATTGGCTAATTTTTAGAAGTTAATCACCAGACCTTTCTTCTTGTTCTGTCTTAATGTAGAAGCTTCATTGAAATCTGCTCTCTGTCAATGGCCTTGCTGCTATTTGAATAACTACTGACATAGTATCTAGCATCTTAAACTATATGAAACATCAAATTTTAACACCATAGACACAATCAGGGTAGTAATAGGTTTTGAATAGTTTTGGAAATGAAGGTTTAAACTAAAGCAGATAAGGAATCCTAAGATGTGTGACATTTGGAGAATCTGTGGTCAAGGACGTTTTTAGAGCTGTACTACAATATGGATTGAAGCTCAATGTCAAGAAGACAAAGATTCTCACCACTGGACGAATTGGCAGCATCAGGATGGATGGTGAAGAGATTGAGATTGTACACAGCTTTAGTTTGCTTGGCTCCATAGTCAACAGTCTTGGCACCAGCAGCCAGGAAATTAAAAGGTGCATTGCCATGGGAAAGTCTGCTGTTAAGGACCTCTCCAAAGTACTGAAGAGCAATGGTGTCTCTCTGGAGACTAAGGTACGTCTGATACAGGCCATGGTCTTCACAATCACTTGTTATGCATCAGAGAGTTGGATAATGACCAAGGAGGATAGAAGAAGAATTGATGCCTTTGAGCTGTGGTGCTGGAGAAGAGTATTGAGAATACCATGGACTGCTAGGAAAGCAAACAGATTTGTCCTGGAAAGGGTTAAACTGGGTGGCTCCTTGGAGGCAAGGATTCTGTGGCTCTGTCTAACATACTTTGGACATGTTGTGAGGAGAGACCGGTCCTTAGAGAGGGACATCATGCTTGGGAGGGTGGAGGGACAGCACAGGAGAGGAAGGCCCTCTATAAGGTGGATTGATTCAATGACTGGGATAATTGGGATGGGAGTGTCAGAGACAGTGCGATTGGCACAGAACAGAGCGGAGTTTAGGGCTGTTATACATAGGGTTGCTATGAGTCGCAAGTGACTCAATGGCACATAACAACAACAACAACACTGCAATCCCAAAGGCACATGGTTTGAATCTATCAATTGCACCAATGGAGAAAGATCAGTAATCTCCCCTTGTGCAGTTTAATGCCTCTGATAGCACAGAAGATCATCTATGAGTTAGTTCTGACTTCAAGGCACACAACAACAAAGAGCAAGGATATCCATTTAAAGACTAAGGTGCACCTGAACCAAGCTATGACATTTTCAACTGCTTCCTTGGCATCTTAAAGTTGAACAATGAATAGGGAAGACTGAAGAAGAATTGATGCCTTTGGGTTGTGGTGCCAAATATACCATGGACAGTCAAAAAAAGCAAACTGATCTTGGAGAAGGCACAGCCAGAGTACTTCTTAGAGGCAAAGATGGTAAAATTTCATGTCATGTATGTTGGATGTGCTGTCAGGAGGGGCCAGTTTTCAGAAGAAGACTCTATGGTGGAAAGGTGGAGGTCAGCCAAAGAGAGGAAGACTCAAACTCTGCAGAGACTCCATATTAACAATGAAAGAGAATTCTGTAAGGTCAACTCTTTTTTAATTATTATTATTATTATTATTTATTTTTTTTAAGGTCAACTCTTAGAGCAATTATCTTTGCTGCTTCCTGCCTTGATGCAACAAGCTGTGTGACTTTTGGAACCTCTTCTGGTGACTGTTTGTTTTTTTTTTTTTAAATGATGAGGTTTTGACAGGAGACAGTGGGGGCCCTTGCAAGTGTGCAGTTTTTATTTTTTTAATTATTATTAAATTTTACTAGTTTTAATGAACATTTACAGAGATTTTTGGTTTTCATTCATTCATTGTTGCACTGTTTTTTCTACCCTCCTCCCCAGTTCGTTCTTCTTCCCCACCCCGAATGTCTGTTTTAATTGTC